ATGTGACTGCATGAGAAAGATATGAGCCATATGACATGATATAGGTGAACATGAGAAAGCAAAGTATGAGATATAAACTATGTGATCATAGTAAAATATAATTATATTTTTTTACATGATAAGTGAAATAAACTGGATAATATTGATCTATAGGATGAAGTGAAAATAGTACACCAACTAGGGGATTTGAACATAAATGATAAGATGAACGTATAAGATAAGCTAGATGGGAAAGATTCATAGGTTTAAATAAAACTATAACACATGGGTTGAATGATAGAAATTTGTGAAGTTATATGAGAAGATTATAAGAGCTATAAGAAATTGAATTAAGTAACATATTAGATTATATAGAAATAATAGAAGTGAGATATGTTTATAAGTCTGCCCTAGATGAATACGAAATATAAGAGTGCTATATGATTTATATTAGGATAATCTTGAGGATATATATATATAGATAGATATGAAATGAAATGAAATGAGTTATATGAATACCCAATTATGTGATGAAATGGTGAATTACCTGAACATGTGAATATATGTTTAAGAGAAGGCATATGATTAAGATATAAGCAATGTGACTATAAGTATATGTGCTTTAAGTGATATGACTTATAAGTATTTCTATTATAATGTTACATGATATGTTATGTATGTTAAAGGAATTATGTGATGGTATGAGAATTGATAGGAAATATATATGTGAAAACAAGTATATGATACGAGACAAAACTTATGACTATAAGCTACGTGAAAGTGTTCTAGGTGTTTCGATATATTATATGAAGTATATGATCTTATGTGAACAAGATATGATAAGTATGTTTATATGAATAAAGGTGATTGGGTGAGAAATGATAGAAATTATATGAAAACATGACATATGTGACATGTGAATTATATGGAAATGATCTACGGGTAAGTGAACTACGTGACTATGTGATCATATGAAAAGAAGCTATGTGATACGTGATATGTGAAAGTGAATTACAAGTTTATGTGTATATTTGAAATGAAATAAATGATAACGCCCATGTTATGTGTCATGAGAGCTAGGGGTATAGTTGGCATGCCAAGAGTCGAGGGTTTATTCGGTTCTTTAGGACATATGTATATCCTTTGGAACCTGTGTGAAGTCTTGAAAGACACATACTTGATCCATAGTATATGTATATGATTCTTAAGGAATTCTACGTGGTCCTTATGGACATCATTCTACGGGCACTACGGTGCAATTCTACGGGCACTTCGGTGCAATTCTACGGGGCACTTTGGTGCATTTATACGAGCTGTGGTGACAGCATAGTGCACAACCTCTATAGACTCACATATCGATAGTTCTCACATATATACATGGGCTAATCCAGAGATATGAACAAATATAAGTTAGTGGTATGATAAATGCTATAGAAATTATATGATGTTGTGTGTATAGTGTTTGATTGAAAAAGTATGTGATTATATGATAACATGTGAATGATGAAGTATGTGTATGTATGAATTTACTGCGATTAATCTGATATGATTCTATACGATATGAAAAATGCCTGGAATTGCTATAACATGATAGAACAGAACATGCATGTATCAATATATGTTTTAAAGTGCATTATAAGTGGTTATGCCTCACTAAGTCTTCGACTTAGCGTGTGATTGTTTCACACGTAGGTTTCGAGAAGAGTAAGGAGTGATGCGGAGCAAGACAGGTCAGTTTTCCTTACCAAAAGATCAGATCAGAAATATTTGATAAAGTATGTTTTTGGTTATGTATAAAGTGTTGGCATGTAATAAGTCATTAAGTACGAGCACTCTGATAAAGTCTGTATTTTGTTTTAAATAAAGTTTTAAATTTCCCGGGATTTTTCTTAAGAGTCAAGGTTTGAAAAGTCAATGTGACACTTCGGACTCGTATCCGGGTCGGATACGGGTTGGGGGTGTTACAGTTATATAAGCTTAAGGAAACTTATATAAACTTAAAACAATAAGATGAGTGAGTTATGATAGGATTTGTAAAAAGAGTTTTAAAGATGAATTTTGTTATGGTTTGGTTTTTAGGGTTTTGATGATATTTTTGACTTGATATAAGAAGAATTAAGAAGTCTAAAGCATTAGAATTGAATTTGGATCATGTTGATATTTTGGTACGATTATTAGCTTTAAGAATCTGGATGAAATATAGGAGATTAAAAGGTGTTGGAATGCTAGAAATTAGTTATAATGGTTATAGATGAGTTTGATAGCATAATAAAGGGTTTATACATAAAAAAATTGGGTAAAGTATTGAGGAATTTTGGGTGAAATAACCTATTCTGGGCAGGTGCATCGGTACACTATGAATATGCACCGATGCACTAAGACCAATTTTGAAGGTACATCGATACATTAAGGGGTGCATTGATGCATGGGTATTTCGAACCTAATTTATGTACTGATGCATACATAGTGCATTGGTACACCCCTAAAGAAAAAAGTGAATATTGGTATGTCAAATTCATTCATGTTATTAGCATCAAATTACAAGGTGTAAATATCTGATAATTACCTTAAAATGTATATTTATGTAGATATCGAGCACGAACAAGTTCCGGAACGATTATCAAGTTAAGATTCGATCGAAAGAGAGGAAATCATAAAAGTGGATTGGAACTTAGTGAGGCCAAGGTGAGTGCATATTAGTTAGTTTAGGGTGTTAAATGGAAACAAGACTTGCGATAAGTCTATTTCCTATGTTAGAATGCATGAATATATGATTATATGTATATGGATGACATGAATTGTATGTATGCATAATTATGTGTGTTAACATGCTTTTGTATGTAATGATATAAGAAGTATGTGCTCTGTGATGTTTATATATATGAACATATGTGAAACTGAACTATGTGGCTGTATGAGAAAGATATGAGTCATATGACATGATATATGTGAACATGAGAAAACAAAGTATAAGATATGAGCTATGTGATCCTATGAGAATATGAAAAAAAGCTATGTGACTACATGTATATGTGAAAGAAGCTATGAACTTATATGACATGTGATATAAAAGTGTATATATGAAATGATATAAGTGAAAATGCCCATGTTATATGATATGAGAGCTATAGGTATAGTTGGAACATGTATGAGGTCTTTTGAGACACATATTTGGTCCTTGGCATATGTATATGATTCTTAAGGAATTTTCTACGTGGTCCTTAGGGACATCTTATATAGCACTACGGTGAAATTCTACGCGGCACTTCGGTGCAATTCTACGTGGCACTTCGGTGCATTTATATGAGCTGTGGTGACAGCATAATGCACAACCTCAATAGACTCACATATCTTTAGTTCTCCAAAGTGTACATGGGTCAGTAAAGATATAATATAAATAAGAAGTAATATGATTGTTATATAATTATGTAATTGGAAGTGAGTGTATTGGTTGAATGTATTGCACATGTTACATGGTTTAATGTTATAATTTATGATTGTTTGATATGTTGGATTATAAGGAAATAAAATGAGCTTATATGATAATTTATGAGTAATTACTTGAGAAATGTTGTGAACTCCATAAGTATATGTAATGGGGGAGTGAATTATAGGAGTATATGAATAGAATAATTAAGATTGTAGTGTGAAATATATTTTGTGAGTGAAATAGTATAATGGAAGCTATACTAGAATAGAGATAAAGTAAATAATATATCAAATAGAAAATATATATATATATATAGGGATAAGAATAAGAATATATGAGATAAGTCGTATAGGAAGACTATATATTTCAATGAAAATATTATCGGAGTTAATTTACGATAAGTTACTAAAATATATATGTTTATGTGATAACTTATACGAAAAATGAATTAATGGTATATAAGGAGTTGTTATACAAGAATATGATATAGAACATGTCACCAAAACCTATGGGTATATGATAGATAGAACTTATGAAATAAGGGATAAAATATGTGATTTTGGGATAGGAATTTATGATTAAGAATTATATAGAAGAAAGGATTAAATGATAATAGGAAAATGTGATAAGCTGAGTGGGATAAATACACAAGACTTTATGGACATGAAACAATATATAAACATAGATGATATGATGATGTATATGTATGTATATATTCATTACATGGAAGTGTATATGAGGTTGTTTGATATGATAGTAGAAAATTTGCATTCATTGTTAGGAGTCATGGTTACGTTATATATTTTATATGCCTCACTAAGTCATCGACTTAGTGTGTGAGTGTTTCACACGTAGGTTCCGAAAAGCGAGAAGAGACGTTAAGAGGAGGAAGACAGGTCAGCTCTCCTTTACAAAGTTCAGATCAGAAAATAAATAGATGTGATTTTGTATTTTATTATGTTGAATATAGTTGGCATATACTAATTGATAGAGTTGAATATGCTCTGATAGGATTTGTAAAACCAAACGGTTTCTTTTATGTAAAATAACGAATTTTATTTAACGAAAGTTAAAAAAAAATCATGTTTTTTTAAAGAGACAAGTTTTGAAAAGTCAATGTGACACATCAGATTCGTATTCGGGTCAGATACGGGTTGAGGGTGTTACCTGCATGGTGTGTATGTCAAGACGATGCAAGTTGATAGGCCATAATAGAAAGAATGATGTAGATTGATCCTTCCCACCACTACTGGTACGCAGCTAAACCATTAATCTAATCAACAAATTATGTTCTAGACATCCTCATATCTGCCATGCAAATGACCAAGTCTCCCCTGCAAACAAGACTAATTATCTGAATAATTGCACAAAGAATCCACAATCAACTGAAACCCTTGCCAGTTAATACAGTGTCAAATGGAGAATTATGTACTGATGAGCACCAATGTTATCTCCTTGAAAACATCATAAAGTAACAGATACTGCTTATTGAAATATATACTAATAAAAGAAAATGATATTATCTCCATTAATAAACAATAAAGCTGTGCTCAGCTTTGCTTACATAAGGAGGAAGAATTCTGGGTTTATTTTTTACACAACTCATCATAAAATAAATTATTAAGTTTGGTGAAGAAAACCAAGAGCGCCAAGCCGCCATTGATTTGCCAATATCTTTCCAAGGTATCACCACTTGAGCTTTGCTGGGAAATACTGAAACAGAAATGGACAAATTTTCAATTTCTAAACACAAAAACTGAAATTCATCCATTAAATTGAATCGAAACGCAGAATTTTACTGACCTTTTCAATAAGTGAAAGATAATACGGCTTCACTTCCTCAACGTCAACAGGGACTTTGCTCTTGCTGTAGAGGTCATATTTGCTGTAAAATTAACATTTTCATCAAACGGACGGAATCGTAAATTTTTCGGATCAAATCGTCGCAAGCTCTAACATATGTAAAATTAAACATTTGAAACGTACTTGAAGATTCTCAGCCACTTCAAATTTTCCTTGTCCTCATCGTTAAGAAACTGCATGTATGCTTCTTCCTTATGTAAAGCTGCATGATTATTTTTTAATTAATGATGGTATTAAATAATAATTTTAATTTAAAATATAGACTAAATCGAAGCTTTATAAACACATGTATATATGTTCTTACGATAAAGTGAATGATATCGGATAATGAACAGCCCTGCCGAAGGTAGAGTGGTTCCATTTTCCTTTGCCACCAAATACATGTAATCATCATGCCCCCATGAAATGGTAACATTATCAAGCCCACAGCCATCGGAGTAAATTCCGTTCTTACTTTTGTAATTGGGATTGCTGTGATCTGGGTTTTCCTTAAAATACTGAAAATAAAATAAAGAATTTTAATTTATTATACCGTAAAGATGATCATTTTGTAACTTTTGAAAATTCAGTGACCAGAACAATCATTTTAAATAAGATGGTGTATTTTACCCTGTAATTTTTCAAGGAAGAGGGAGAAATACCTTGTGGTGAATATTGGCTTCGTCAAAGGCACACCCAAGAGGAAATGTATCGCCTACAACATTGGACATTGGTTAATTACTTAATTAGATTGGATTACTCAAAAATCATAATTAAAAATCTAATTTGAACTATATTATGATCTAAACTCACCAACAACAGCCCATTGTGGAAGCCCTCCAAACTTGGGTAGAAGAAGGACCTTACCAAGATCTACACGAAAGTAAGAAAAATAAATATATTTGAATATATATTCGATATGTATAGGATAGAGTTTGATATTTTTTAAATAAGATCTCGAATGTGAACGTACCGTGAATGAGAGCAGTCAAATGCAGCCAATCTTCATTGGGGTAATCTTTTCTAATTGCTTCAGACGATTGCAACAAGTGCTGGATTTGAGGTTCATCCAGATCAGGGTCACTGTCATCCACAACCTCATTCAACAACTCACAGCATTCCCATATGCTCATTTCCATCCTATCCAGCTTTGAATATTCTTTTCTCACCTTTTGCACCTATATAGTCTTCGAATCTTAACATTATGAATGATTAAATTAAATCCAGAGAAATGTATTTTTAATGGTATTCGATACAGATTAATCGACTAGCCGGAAACATTATATTCTAACATATTTTATGTTTTTTTTCCCTTACAAAATCATATGTCTGATTAATATGTTGCTGTCTGTAGAATTCCTCCACGCTCTTTTGCCTTTCACTTTCTGCATTGTAATCCCTAAAGGAGTTGCCGAATGAATTGATCTCCGGTGCAAAAAATCCATCTCCCGATAAAGATTTCGGCACCGGAAATCCACCGTCCAACACCAATTCCTTGGTTTCCTCGACAAGATTCTGGGAATCTGCTTGAGACACCGTTAGAACATAAAACAAATGCAATAAGTGATCATTGCTGCAAATTCCATGAAAAGGAAAAATAAAAGAAACAATGAACGGTACCTAGCGCAGGCTTCTCGATGAGGATAGTCATTTTCCCTCCGAGAAAATGTTTGGAAAAAAAGAAGAAGAAGAAGAAAGAGACGAGAAAACTGCTGTCTGAAAAGCCAAAAATGAACCAATAATCCGTTCAAGTTGTTGCTGTTGTGTGATCTGGTAGATATTAGGGGGGATTTTATAGTAAAACCAGTACAGGTCCTTCCTTGTCAATTGGAATTTTTTGTGTCCTCAACTGAAAACCTTTATATACTAACAAACAAGGGAAAAAGTCCTTCCCTGTCATTTGGAATGTTTCATGTCCTTAACTGAAAATAAAAATCCGTTCTTTACTTTCTTTACCAAGCACTTTATTTTATCTAAACGAAACAAAGTTGACAGATTATGATCTAATCACACTAGACTCCCTCGCGCGTGAATTCAATATCCAATCATATTCTTCCACGTATAGAACTAATACCTTTACGCGGTCTTTTATACAGCTTTGAAATATCTGTCTTTTGGCGCGATAAGATCACACGTCAGCCCTCCGACAGTTTTATCTAATAAATAAATCAGTTTAATAATACATTTATTTGTTAAATTATTTATAAATTTATTATTAATACTTTTTATTATTTTAAACACTCTTTAGATATATACGATATTGATTAAATTTGATTTTAAAATAAAAATATCTGATCATTAGTATTTTAATTGATTAAAAAATGGAGTAGGAAGCTGACTCAGCTATACGTGGATGACGTATCTTATAATAAGCTGACTCAGCTATACGTGGATAACGTATCTTACAATAAGCTGACGCAGCGTCTAGTCATGACCAATGAATATCTTGACTTTTTTGTGGTGGAAGAAGTGGATGGTGGAGTAGGTTGCAAGTCAACGGCTGAGTTGTGTTTGCTGATGCATACATCCCGTCCTTCATCTTTTATCAATAAAATAAGAAACACATGATGAAATAGAAAGATCATAAACGGTTCCTATTCCGATAAAAACTATAAAAGGTGTTTGGTTTAGGTAATCTGAGATTAATCTGAGATTATCGGGAGAATGAAATCTCATTATCTCGTTTGGTTGTCTAATATTCTCAGCCTTCTGTAATCTTTTATTATTAATAATGGATTTTTTGTGGTATATTATCGGAAATGTTATTATCTTCCTTCTCTTAGGTATTGTTGGATTACCGGTATTTTGGACTAAAATTCCCTTAAAATTTATTTTTTTTCGAATAATAAAAATTCTACGAATGTTTAATTACAAATTTATCTTTAAACTATTTTAGATTTACCAAAAAAAGCCTATAATTAGAATTTTATATAAAGTGCAGGGGTTAAAATAAAATTTTACCCTTTCATTAAACTTATTTATCTTTTCAATTTTGTAAAAAAAATATAAATTTTATGAATTTAAATTTTTTAAAGAAAATATATAAATTAATTATAGTAATATTATAGTAGAATTAAACTTGTTAAAAAAACAAATATATAATAAAGATAATTTGGTAAAATATACATTCCAATAATCTTTTATTTCTTTAACCAAACACGGTAATCTTACATTCATACTAAATCAATCAAACACAAAATACAATATTTCTAGTAATCTTATTCCCTGATAATCTTTTATTCCTGATAATCTTACATTCCGTTAACCAAACGCACCCTAGAGCAAATGAGACCCATTTTGACGAGGGATCTCTCCTTCCTTCTCTAATAAAATATTGTGTCATTTTCGCATTAAGATTTTACCTTTTTTTTCCATTGAGATGCTAATTTGTCACTCAATTTGTATAATAGGTTGTATAATATTGGAATTGGACCCCATCCCTTTCTCCCGGAAATGAGACTTTCGAAGTGAGTCGTGACTCGAAATACAATTTACTGATGTAACACGCACTACCCGGTTAGACTCTGGAATCCTTAATTAAGGAGTTAGGATAAAATTATTAATATTAAAATGATTAAATTGAATTAATAAATTTCAAGAGGATCTTAAAAACAATTTTTCCATTTCATCTAGGGGCTGCCCCTGCTTGTCCCCTTTAGATTTGCTCCTCATCTGGAGTTAGAAGTTTATTAGAATAAATTTAATCATTAGAAAGATTATTTATTCAAACTTCAGTGTTAATGTTCTTGTTCATTTTATGATCAATATTATAATGATGTGTATTAATATCGTACTGGGTAATTTTATTTATTTAAGAAAATAATATAAGATCGTGTTAATTTAGATATCAATAATAATTTAAGAGTGTGTTAACATTGTATTGAACATTAATTCGAATTACTAAAGTATTAGTGATTGTAGATGTAGTTTACCTTTTATTACACATTATGTACTATTGGCACAGTCTAATAGATTTAACGAAAGTGTGTCTCATATGCTCTTATAGGGACTATGAGAAGGAAAGCTTGATAAATGTCTTATTATATATATAGGCTCGTCTGAAGAAAGGGCAATACGAGAAGCTAACCAAGACAGTGATGAGCATCTGGTGATGCTCCGAGCTACTCGCTGAGTGTGTTGACGAGAGCGATCCTGATCCTGACGAGCCACAGGTCGAACACCTCCCCTATTGTGCCGAAGCCATCCGCAGGTTACCTGAATTAAGACTGGCTCCATCCCACTGCCCTCATCCACGGTTTGTCCCCTCCCCAACACTGACAGAACAATACAAACACTAGTGCCCGTCATGCTGATGTTTAGCTTTGTTTTCTTCATTGCAGACTTGGGGAAAGTTCTGTTGCATCCCTCGTTTGGGGGCGTGGGCTCACCCACGATGGGCTGTCGTTGCTACGTTTTGATCCTTTGTTATCAATTTAGTGAAGCCGTACTATCTCTCCCTCATCCAAAACGAAATACACCATATTCTATTTTTATATCTGTTGTACCTCCCGTGCAGACTCTCAAGAACGTCATTCGAATATCACATTTTTGTTTATTATTTATTTAAAGTTTCATATTTATTAAATGACCACTTTTTCTTTATTAAATTTTGGATACATAATTCGTCAGGGATAAACTTAATATGTATTGCAATTACAGGCTTAACATCAATCACCTTATAATCAAAGTATTTATACTCAAAGAAAGATGGAAGATGAAATCTCTCTATTTTTCTCTTTCAAGCTCCATCTATATTAAAAGTCTTTTCTAGTATGTTCTCTCTCCAATATAATATTTCTTTTCTATTTTGTGTTCTCTCTCTAATATAGAAAAATATTGATTAATGATTATTTTCTCACTGATCATAGTTCTACGTTTAAATCAAAAGGAAGAAGTGTTAACGGCCGACGAATCTATTTTACTCTACGTGTAATTAGTAATTATTTGTCTCCAAATCTGTTTATTTATCCATTTTTATTGTAGTACTGGCGAAAGGAATAAGGTCCTATGAATGAAGCTGTGCAAGCAATCCCCAACATGTATGCCATAGGAGTTATTTTGCAATGGCACCAGTTTACATATGTTTATGTCGTCCAGTTCAATTAAGTGTCAGTGCTCTGGTAGCTAAGTTGTTTATTTTTGCTGATTAAATTTATTTCAGTTGATTAACAAAAGATATTATTGTATTTACGATTAAAATTATATATTTAATTCGAGTTGTATAATTTTTTAAAAATGATATATTTTATTAAATAAATGTTATAATTATGATATTTTGTAATATTGAATTTAAATTATTAAATTAAATGAAAAAAGAAAAACACTAAACTTTGTGAATCCTATAGCTTACTAGGAGGTAATAAATATGACCCTTTCGGCCATTAGGAAGATTAAAAAGGACAATTAAAGCTCCACCGCCTTTGGAACACGTAGGACCTACCTGGATTAATTATTCCTGAGCCTCGATCACCTCACAGCTGTGTCACCGTAGCATTTCCGGGACGTCTCATCTATATGCCACGTTGCTGGAATGCTTTAAACGTGGCGATCTTTCAAGCAACCTTCAAATATTGTCGAAACAACAGGCACCGTGAGTCCAACACTTATATTCATTTTTTACCGCTGTAAAAAGTGCAAACATACAAAAACAGAGCTCTAGAATTTACCCCACCACAGTTAAAGCACCCATTTCACATCGTCATCTTCTACGTTATATAAAGCAACCAAACCCGTTCACCAGTATTTAATTTACATACCATACTTAACAATGATCGGAGCAACTCATCGTCCAGATCGAACGGTCCTCGTTCCACCTTGGCCGAACTACGATGATGATCCAACGGCAGAAGTTTACTCTCCCCTCAAATACGATGCTGCCGGCAGCCCGTTTTACATACAGGAAGAATTAGCAGCGCTACAACGTTACTTGCCGTCGAACGAACCGGATGCCCGATTGGATTCCGAGATTCCGGGTCTGAACAACCCGTATTCACCGGTTAATGCTAGCTCGTGCGATCATTTCAGGATGTTCGAGTTCAAAGTACGAAGATGTGCACGTGGCAAGTCACATGACTGGGTTGAATGTCCGTACGCTCATCCTGGTGAAAAAGCTCGCCGGAGAGACCCGAGGAAGTATCATTACTCTTGTAATCCTTGCCCTGATTTTAAGAAAGGGAGCTGTTGGAAAGGTGACTCTTGCGAGTTCGCTCATGGCGTTTTTGAGTGCTGGTTACACCCGGATCGTTACCGTACTCAGTTATGCAAAGACGGGTTGGGTTGTAAGCGTCGGGTTTGTTTCTTTGCTCACAGTCCGGACCAGCTCAGGGTCGTGGAATCAGCTGATTCATATGATGGTTCCCGTTCACCTTCTTGTGCAAAACCGCTGCCTTTTTCGCCTCCGGTGAGTCCTCGTGTTGAGCCTTCACCGCCTATGTCTCGGTCGATGAGTCGATCACTGGGTTCAACTTACATGAACGAGATGGTAGCTTCTTTAAGGAACTTGAAACTTGGTAGTCAACCTTTAACTTCTTGGAACACACAAGTAGGCTGTTATTCACCTCCTCCTCCTGGGTTCGGGTCTCCGAGAGAGGCGGTGGTTCGACCCGGGTTCTGCAGCCTTCCTAATACGCCTACTCCTGGGATTGGGTACTCGGACATATGGGAAAAAGCCTGTGAAGAAGAGCCAGTGGCGGAGCGAGTCGAGTCTGGGAGGAATATACGTGCCATGATGTTCGAGAAACTGAGTAAAGAGAATTCCTTGCTCAGGGATTGATTCGGGTTACGTCTTGTCGTTTTCGTTGATTTCTGATGGATTTCGAATTTTATTCTCGGTGTTAAAAGCATCTGAGAAGAAAACTGGAATGTTTGTTCCCTAATTCAGGAATCCGTGTAATTAATCTCATATATTTTAAAATTCATCTGTGTAATTAAATTTTAGACAGATGAATTCTTTCTTATCGTATATTTTAAAATTAATCTCATGATCATTTGAAGAAATTAAATTTTATTGATTTTTATGAAAATTTAATTAAGCAAATATTTTAATACTGATCCCTATTCATAATAAATGGCAATCGAAGAAATTAGTAGTTACAATATTACAAATGAGAAGAGACAATTACTTTATCATTTTATTAATAATTTAATTATTCAGTGTCTTAATTAAGAATCAAAAGCATTAAAATATTTTAAAATTTAATATTAAAATTGATATAAATTTAAATAGGGACTAAGGATGTAATTTTCTCTAATAATAATCCAGAGTAATGAAGAGAGATGGTATTGTTCGAGTTCCTTCGTTCATGCTTAGCAAAGGTGGGACATAGCGGCTAAAGGAGAAAGCTAGAAGTCTCTAGTATTCACTAGATCTAGTAAAAAAATGGTGGCCACGCATCTCCATTTAGAGGGATGATAAAGACGATGATTTTAACTACTTTTTTATTTGATCAACTTGATTTTGAGGGCCTCGTTATTTTGATTTACATACTACGAGTCAAGATCAAGTAATTTAACTCTTATGCATGTTACCTTGCAAATGGGCTTGTAATGGAGTCCGTAGCAGTACTGATGGAATACACTTCAGATGAATCGTATGATGGTGTCGATGATCCAATGTCAATCTCTTTGCTGCACCTGTCCTTTGTTTCCCTATTGTGAGTCAATTCCAGGGCCAAGCATTGGTTCAACTCACTCAACACACTGCTCATGGTAGCTCTGTGCAACGATTTAGGTCTAGTGCAAGCCATTGCCACTTCTAAAGCTTTCGAGACCGAGTTTGGATCGAATTCGCCGTGCAGTCTTCGATCAACTATGCTTCCTATATCCCCTCTTTTAATCAGAGGTATCACCCAATGAACTATGTGCATCGTTTCTTCTTTCTTTATCACTGCATTCTGTCCAGTGATCAGCTCCAACAGCACTACCCCGAAACTGAACACGTCGCTTTTCTCGTTTAGCTTTCGAGTATTGTAGTACCTGAAAGAACGAATTGATAAAACATCGTAATTCGAAACCATAATCGGAAACTTAGAGTAACAGGTGAGACATACTCTGGGTCTAGATATCCTGGGGTGCCCATAACTGTAGTTACTATTAAATCACTGTGGCCTTCACTTGGGACAATAGCCTTTGAGAGACCAAAATCTGCAATCTTTGCGTCCATGTTTTCACTTAGGAGGATATTGGCTGTTTTCACATCCCGGTGAATTATTGGTGGTTTGCATCCATGATGCAAGTATTCTAGACCTGCAAATCAAAATCAAAGAGCTTTATTTGATAAAAACTACGGATAAACATCTGGTTGAAGTTGATTCAAGATTGTTTCGACATGGTGTCATCGGAGCAAGTACGCTTTTTGAAACCGTAGGCACCTTGTGCTGCATCGATTGCTATCCGGAGTCTCATTTCCCAACTCGAGCTTTTAGCTTTAAGCATTAAGTTGTCACATAATTTGATAATAAATTTAGTGAGGATGCAGTAAAACTGCAGGGGTGATTGCATATGCAGTTCGTGACATGAAACAAGGATACATGAGAGATAATCCTTCAGATTTCCATTGGCCATATACTCGTAGATGAGTGCCATATTGCTTCCATCGTCGCAGTATCCAACGAATGAAGCCAGATTCCTATGATGAACTCTCATCAGAAGTTCAGCCTGCAATACGACTCGTATCCGACAATGTCAAACATTTCTATATTGTTTTCGGATTCTAGGGGCTAGAAATATTACATACCTCAGCCTGGAACTCTCTTGACCCTTGTTTTGATGAAGTAGAAAGCATCTTGACTGCAACTTGGGTGCCATCTTTCAGTTTTCCACGATACACGGTCCCAAATCCTCCCTTGCCAATGACATCTTGAAAGTTGCTAGTAATGTTCAAAACCTCAGCAAAGGTGAACTGCCGATTCTTTGATGGCAACGGCCTTCCTTCACCATTGAAGACATCAGCCTCTGCTGTGTGCAACAAGTACACAAACAGAAAAGTAGCATCAGAATGTGCAATATGGAATTCTATAGAAATTTTGTAGCAGAGATACATCTTGACAAAATTCGTGTCTGCAACAACCTGGTTTTCGTTTCCTTCGTAGTCCCCACAGAATTAAAGCAACCGAGAGCACCAAAGCGGATAATACTGATGCAACAACCGGAACAACAACGTTCTTTTTCTTTTTGCATGAACCTGAGCTACAAATATTCTGTTCATCCACCCTGGAATCAAGTAAAATGTAGTTAGATTATGCTCTCTATGTGTTCTATCTTCCTCCACTACATTACTTTTACTTGGAAAGACAAAGAAGATCGACAAACGAAAACACAGACCTCAGAGTAAGTAGTCCAGCCTTTGACCTATCTAGAAGTTCTTCAGGAACATAACCAGACAGCTGGTTGCCTTCCAGATTCCTACAGAAGTACAATGTAAGTATTGTTACAGTTTTAAATTTGTTCCTCATTACGTTGGTATTACTCTCCTATTGCTCCATAACTTACAGTAACTTCAGAGATTTAAGTTCTTCCAGAAACTCGGGAACTGGTCCGGTCAAGTGATTGTTCGACAAATCCCTGGCAGAATGTCATGTTTAGTATCGGAGATGTGATTCGACAATATTGGTGCTATGATATGTACCACTTACAGGGTCTGCATTGATGAGAGGTTTCCAAATGAAGTAGATATCCTGCCACTTAATCCACTTGAACTCAAGTTACTGCCCTTGTTGAAATAAATCAAGAAACTCTTTATGTTCTTAGAAAAGACATGATTTCATGAGAAAAGGATATTGCAAGAAACCTTACAGAGAAACGATTCTTGGAGGAACCAAAACATTGTAGTTGCATTCGATACCTTCCCAGGTATAATTCTTTGGTCCACATGGATCCCCCACCCACCATTTGTTTACTTTATATGTTGTTTTGATAGTTAGAACAGCAGCAGCTGTGTGAAAGGAATCGAAACTGAGTTAACTTCGGCCTTTCAGTTAGATCAGGTGAAAATGTAGAGTGGTTCAATGGGAAACTCACCATCTACGGAAAACGTTGGCAATTCATCCAGTTGTTTGGCCACGTAAATCTCGATGGCATTCAGAATAGGTGGAAGGTTAGCATCATCAGTTTTATATATTGAAATCCGATGTTCTTTCCTCGTGAAGGCTTCCGAGTTTGATATGGTGGCTGCATACATGTACAGAGGGACGACAGGCCCAAACATTAGGGACCCGTTCCAGGATATATTGAATTTTCTTGTCTGGTTTTTCTCAAGTCGCTGCACTTCGGCAAAGTACATGTACACATAAAAGCTGCTAGCATCGTCATCGGCTGTCCACGATAATTCCAATCGATCACTACCGTTACGAGTCGTTGCAGCAGTTCTAATGACTTCCAATGGAGCTCTGTATCCATTTTCATTACTGTTAATTTCTGAAGAGGTACTAATCACATCCCAAGAAGGAGAATTGTAGGGAGACCAGATGCGGTCGTAAATATCATCTTTGTACCGACCGGTTCCGTTTGCATACCCGATATCAAATCTTTCAAAGAGTACTAATGAAACAGGTTTCCCAAGTTCAGTACCATAAATTGAACTATTCAGTGGCCTAAGCTCCAATGCTGATATAAAAGGAATTCCAATACCTTTATTTACAAGGCAAACACTTACAGTATCTGATACCACAGAACCAATTATCTCTGTCGTTACGACATCGGAAGCATTCCGGAATTTAATCGACGACCATAGGTTAACACCGAGATAAAGATCGAATTCCGGGGGCTTTTCTTGGCCGTCGTAGTTTCCATACAAGAACGAGGCTCTGAGCAGGTATAAACTGTCCTTTGCTGCTGCAGGTGTTAAGGTGTAACAATTCTTATTACCATTAGGAAAACTCCTGAGATCTGAAAGTGGATAAGGTAGATTTGGATTGTTGGGGTAAGCATATTCAGAAGAAATGTTGTTGCTGATCCCAGTGTTGATGTATGCTCCATCTGATGTGTAACTGATACCAGTGTCAGGGTCTACGAAGTTGAGATTCTCAGGTGATCCACAATCAATGCTTATGAACCCTAAAGAAAAAGAAGGAAATTTCTCAGTTCGTGCAATCAGACACAAAATTTTATGTTAAGAAAGACAAACATATAAAATTTTAATAACAACCCTCTAGTAGAAACAAGCTAAAAGTGAGATATCTTGAACAGGAAGAAAGTTCGACTAACCTGCTTGGAGTTGGCCATGAACAAGAAGAACAGCAGCAAGGGAAAGCAACAATGGAGGAAGGTACCCAACAAACATTTTCTTCTTCTTCTTCTTCTTCTTCTTTTTGTTTAGGTCAACGAGATTGATGGAGAACACAAATCTCAGAAGCAAGAGCTTAATGGAAATTCATCCAATTGTTGGACTTTTCTTTTTAGTAAACCAATATCATGGCTGCTGTTAATGGATTCAGATATTTTCACTGAAACAGTTCTCCCATGGTATTGCATTAAAATAAATTAAGAAGCTGTATCCATTTGTTGGACTTTTCTTTTTTGTAAACTAATATCATGGCTGCTGTCGGCGGATTCAGACATTTTCAACTGAAACAGTTCTCCCATGGTGTTGCATTAAAATAAATTAAAGCTGTTGAACGTTGAATTTTCCACTTTTTTTTTTCCATAGAGAAAGGGAATGAAATGATTCGGTATTCATATATTAGCATGTGGTCACTGAATCGGTAGCATTTTAAAAAAGTCAAATAAGTAAAATTTGGGGGAAATATTAAAAAAATGTCAATTAAGTATTCATTTTATCACATACCAGATCAAATAAAATAATTTAAATTCAAATAAAATTTCAGAAAGAAAGAAAAAATACACTTGTCAAATTAGATGAAATTAACCGAGAAATCAATCTAAGCTGTAAACATGAGGGGATTATGGCCCAGTTTAATAGAAAAGACATTTATTATGTAAACCCAACAAATATTGTACTAAAACTCATATCATTTCTGCTTGTTGCTATGCTAATTAACAAAAAGGGTCATCATCATTCATTGGACGCGTCCAGGGAACACGGCTAAACAATAGCTGGACTCTGACCGTCAATTGGGTGCACGTGGCGCCCATCAACTCTGTTTGATTCTCTCACGACATTGGAAATGGAAAGCCAGAGTGGCCGTTTCTTCCTTGAGATTCCCTCTTCTCGCCTTCTTTTTAAACCCTCTCATCGTTCTCAAAATCAAATTCCAGAAACAAAAGTAGAAGAAGACGGAATGGAGATTTTAAGAGTCGGGTTTGCAGTAATGGCCGTTGTTGCATTGGCGGTGAATCTGTTTGCACCTTCCATGAATGCTCAGAGCCTCGCTCCTGCACCTCCACCCACCAGCGATGGTTTGTTTTCTCTCGGTGTTTTTCATCGGATTGTTTTGGTGTTTTTCTAATGGAGATTTCGGTATTGCAGGGGCGACGCTTGATCAGGGAATTGCTTGTATTTTGATGCTGGTTGCTCTGGTGATCACGTATATCATTCACTGATGCTGATGGTGATTCTCTCTCTCTCTCTCTATCTCTCTCTCTCTCTCTCTATATATATATATATATTTGCCGATATTTCATTTAAAAATTGATTCTTTCCTTGGTCCAGATCTTCGTTCAGACTGCTTTTTTTTCCATCTTCTGTTTGCGATGAGAGCTTGTAATTATTCCCTCTTCTTTTAGTTTTGATTTCTTCGTTATTTCCTCCAAAGAACGAAAATTACATGTTGGTATCGTTGTTCATGAACAAAACACCTTCCACAATGAAACCACCCAAAGGAGCACTAAACATGTCTCGTGTTCAAAGATAAACATAAAGATGTTAAAACCATAACATTCTTTTTAAATTTAAAATTTTTAAAAAAGAAATTGTACTTTCTTAATTAATAATTTAGTTTTGCATCTTTGAAAGTCTCTAACTTTACATTCACATTACTTAACATAGAATTTACATCCTATTTAAAGCTTTTTAACTTAAAATTTTGAAAGGAATATATTTTATTCAAATTAAAATAAATATCTAAGTATAACAATGTAACTTCTATGAAAAGTTTCTACTAGTAAACATTATCGATAGATCATTTTAAACTTCTAAAAAAAACCATTTTTAAAAAAATGAGAAGTCTATTCCTTTTTCTTAAAGTGGTTTTTACTTGCGTTTAAAGTTACACAAAATAGATGATTAATTATATACAAAAAGTAAGATTAAATTATAATTAATTATTAAAGTTATTTTCAAATAATCAAGTAATCTATGTGATAAAAGAAAATTGTTATTAATTCTTGAGAACCTAAATTCAAGCACCATAGATATTAAGAGTGTGAACTTTTAATATTGAAAGATTAAGAGTTATCTTTAAACAGATATTATCTTGTATTTACCCATGGTTAATTAAAAAACAATGCATCAATCAAGAGAAAAAAATTCCACGACAAAAGAGACGGTTATTATGAAATATTCTAATAATTTATTTTTTCTAATTTATAGAGAGTCGCCGAGAGAGACCCAAAAAGAGTGAATGTTTGAGAGCTAAAATAGATGCTCTGGTATTTTGGGGACATGAGAGACTTCCCCATATAGGAAAAAATATTTTATTAAAATGGCAAAAGATAAGGGAGCTTCGTTTAGATAAGCAAATATCTTTATGTACATTGTCAAACCTTAAATGCACACAAATTTGAAGCAGAAGATTCAATAATACAACAATGACCTCTCTTTCATGTTTTGCAACATGACCTGCGGCCGTGGTACTCCAATCAACAAAACCAGCTCGCTACTAGATCCCTGCAGATCAAGAAACTAATCAAATAAATAATTAGCATAAAAGAACGGGATCCCTGCAGATCAAGAAACTAATCAAATAAATAATTAGCATAAAAGAATGGTGAACTATACACCATCAGATCGAGTAGCCATGTTTTATTTAAGCTTCTTATGTAATTCCCAGGAATAAACTGAAATAAAATGAATTACCTTAAAGTGCCATCTCAGCCTGCAATGCTGCAAGTTCATCTTCCTCAGCAGTACGCTTTTGAGGAACGGGTCGAGCTGGTTGCCTACCAGCAGGTACGTGGACTGGAGCTGCAGGAGCGGTTGTCGCAGGTTGAAGAAGTTGTTCTTCCAGCTCAGCACCTTCAAGTTCTTCAAGTTCCGCCTCCAATTCATCCTACATCATCAGAAGTTTTCAACTCAGTTGTTAGATGAGTATAACTTCTAGACATGGTATTCATAAGCATAGATAAGTAGCAATAAAAAAACAAAAGAATACAAGCAAGTGCATCGGAAAGTTAGTGACCTCATCAAAATCAGCTGCAGCTCCAATCGGAGTTGACAGTGCTTCTTGAATCTGTTTCATGTTTTCAGTTTGTTCATTGATCTCATCCATTGTTTTGTCAACATCATCTATGTTCCTGTAAAGAACACAAATTTCAGTAGAAAAGTGAGAATTAGCCACAGCTTGAGATTCATGAAGGCCCAAAAATAAGTTCTAATTTAGATGGCATAAATCGCAAGTCAGCAAACATCAATGACAAGGTAATGATGAAGAATTTATTGGAATACATACGTTGCTTTCTGCATTGCCTTCATAGCAGCTGCTCCAGTTCTCAATGCATCTACAGTTTCGGTTGTAGCTTTAGCACCTTCTAACATTATCATCTGCAAAAATTGATATATAAGTGATGGCATCCTTAAAATAATAGGGAAAAAAACATCCAAGGGAAGTGCTAACACACTAAAAATAACAAGATTCCAAGCTCACTTGATCATGAATACGAAGCTGGAAGTTCCCAAGCTGCTCTATTTGTTGTTCATATAATCTCTTTCTCTTCAAGCACTGTATAGCAGCTGCATAAGAACAGCATTAATGAATGCAAAGTTCGCTATAGATGTAGCCATCGTGGTTTTAGATGATACATAACTAAATGACTTAATCCTTTTCTACAAGGACAAGATCTTTGAATGTATAACTTCTAAGGGATGAGCACAATACATATCTGGAATTCAGAATCATATCTTAGCATGTTAACAGCTAATCTGGCATTAGCGCATAAGAAAACACTGGGAGCAGGGTTATAGTGGAAAAGAACCGTAATATACTAAAGAAATATGAATAATTATCATGAAGCTCCTGCATAATTAAGCTACAAGTTATTGCATGATACTGCTGGTAGTCGAGTTCAATATCATGTCTACAGTCTACGCACAACTATCAAGAAATCAAACATGAAACAACCAATAATTACAAAGTCAATAAGTTTCACTAAAACTTGTATGCATTTTTCTTTTCAACAGAGGAAGCCGTGGAAAACTAGGAAAACGATCAATATTGAGCAGATGCAATGCAACCATACCTCTCTTATTTCTCCCTTTGGCGAATTCCTTGGCCTTTTCGACCTCTGCAGCAGCCTTTTTCACAAGTACTTTTTCCTTTTTCTCTAGCATTTCAAGGGTCTGTATTATGAAGATGAATATAAGTAATAGGATTCCAATTAAGCGAAGTGCAGATATCGGAAACATCCCTTCGGGAAAATGTGAATAAACAGTTGAATAATTCGCCAAAGGTTATTATTCCATTAAACACTCAGCCAATAACTCAGTTTTATATCTAAATCCCAAAGTCCCAACCACTTGTGACTGCTAAATTCAATCCACCCAAAATCAACGCCAATTCTCGAATTCAGAGCAAATAACCGATTCACACAACGCAAAAGTAAATACAAAATAAAAAGTGGTTTCATAATCAGTTATACCTCATTTAATTTGTCTAACGTGGTTAGAGCATTCGCTTCCTGCTTGGGTTTCCCAAAAAGCCGACCAAGCATGGTTGATTCTCCGCGATTAAGAACCCTGGCAGTCTATTCAACGGTAATCATCAATAAGATCGGATCCAAAGAAACAATAATCAATCACTCGGAAACATGAAAAATATCAAAAAATTGAATCAAGCGTGAAAAAAAAGGGAAAATTCATTGCAAAAGAGGGGGAAGCTCTAACCTGTAAAATTAAGAAATTAGGGATTTGGAAATCAAGCGAGAAAGAGATCTGTAGATTCCTTGCATAAAGGGATAAACTAGGGGAAATTGGATTTTATTTGGTGATTTAAAAAAAAATCCTTAAGCGTGTTGTGTTCGAGTAAAAGTTGTTCCCTCTTTGCGCGTGGGAGTCGTTGATTGGCCTTAAGGAGGTCCCCTCCATCTATAAAGAGTAAATTACATTTTTAATCACTCAACGGTTGTCTTATTCATGTTTTTAGTCATTCAGTTAAAATAATAATAATTTAATCACTTTAACTTCGAAGATATATGTTTTTACAAACGGTGCACTTTACATGCAAAGTTAGCGACAACATACTCCAACTAAGCATACTTCACCGCCTGATCTAATAAGTTATCCTGATGAGTATTGAACTAGTGTGGGCATGGATGAATCTGAATGATTTTGAAGTTTCTTAAAATAATTTTTAAACTTTTAAAATTTATATTGAAGTCACTAAACTTTAATATTATTTATATTTGACCTCACCTAATTGTAATCAAGCCCATATGGATTATATCTAACTAAATGTAGTCCTGGCTCCAACAGATCACCCCCCTCCCCAACATATAAGATTTCAGTTGTAGGGTTGTCTTACTTAAGTTTCTAAATCCAAGCCATCACTTTTAATTAGGTGTTTGGTTGGCATGAATCTCTTGGAATTAGGAGAAATTAGAATTTAATTTCATCAATTTTTTATGTTTGGTTTAAGTTTTTTAAGAGAATTGGAATCTCTCATGGCTTCAACTTTCCATCAAACGAGGAAAAGTGAATTTCATCAAAGAATAGATGGAATTCAATTCCTTATTGGAGGGAATTAAAATTTGATCATATTACCCTCATCAATCTTTTGGTAATTTATTTATATATTGAATAAAAATATTTTTTTATTATTTCGGGTCGGGTCGGGTGAAACTTTATTTTGGTCGAGTCGGGTTATTTTTTTAAGCGTGATATTCGGGTCGGGTCGGGTTCGGGTTTAGGGTGAAAAATATCCGACCCGAAAATATATATAATTTTACCTTATATATTTAGGAATAATTACAATAATACCCCTTTATATATAATTTTTTTCAATTAAGTCACTGTTTTTATTGAATAAAAATATTTTTTTTTTATTTCGGGTCGGGTCGGATTTTTAATTCATATATTCGGGTCGGATTGGGTGGAACTTTATTTTGTTCGGGTCGGTTTTTTAAGTGTAATATTCAGGTCGGGTTCGGGTTTAAGGTGAAAAAACCAGACCCGACCCGAAAAATATATATAATTTTACCTTATATATTTATGAATAATTACAATAATACCCATCTATATATAATTTTTTTCAATTAAGTCAATATTTTTATTGAATAAAACTGATTTTTATAATTTATTGAAATGAATAATTAATCAATAAAATGAAAATTTAACATTTTTAAATTTTTATAATATATTAATACATGTAAGTTGTAAAATAAATTAAAATAAAATAAAAAAATAAGAAGTACAATTCTATTATTTTATATTATTAAAATTAAATTAATGTGACATATCTATGAACTAAACAGAACATGTCTCCCAACTAAACAGAATATGAAACATATTTCAATTCCTTTGCAATTCTAATTACCTAAACCAACCAAACGCCAGCTTACCGTTTATATATGTCAAGCTTAGAAAATCCAGTGGCGGAAACAGATCAGGCGCCGCCGCCTTCGGACCAACTCGTTGCGATGAACTTGACCGACGCTGTCCAGAAACACGCATTCTCCGACCGAGTCCTCATCCCTTCCATCGACGGCCGACCAGACGGCGGGGCTGGCCTTGCTGGGCAAAAAGTCCGGGCCGGTGGTTGGGTTAAGACAGGGAGAGAGCAAGGGAAGGGAACTTTCGCATTCTTGAAACTGAATGATGGATCGTTCCCGGCGAACTTGCAGGTCATTGTGGACGTCGGAGTGGCTGTTATGAGCAAGCTGGTTGCAACCGGCACGTGCGTGGTGGTGGATGGGATATTGAAGGTGCCGCCTGAAGGCACGAGGCAGAAGATTGAGCTTCGGGTCGAAAAAGTTGTTTCTGTTGGCGAGGTGAATCCAACTAAGTACCCGATTCCAAAAACGAAGCTCACGCTTGAGTTCTTGAGGGATCATCTTAATCTTCGATCTAGGACCAACACGGTATGAATCTTTATCCAAATTGAATGTTAATCTTTCCGTCTATGGAACGTTTGAAAAGCAGTACTATTTCCTTAATAATAAGATTAAAATTTTAATACTACTGAATGTTTGAAGGTGAATTTTCCATCTTCCTGACAAGTTAACTCTGCTGAGATCATTTGGTAACTGTAGGACAGGTTTTAATGCTTTATTATATCCAAAATATGTTGTGCAATATGTAAGGTATTTAGCTTCATTTTTTATTATTATAATTTTGTAATCCTTGGTAATTTATATGTGGATTCAGATTGCTGCCCTTGCTAGAATTAGGAACGCACTTGCTTTTGCTACTCATTCGTTTTTCCAAGAGCACAATTTCCTTTATGTGCACACTCCAATTATTACTACTAGTGATTGTGAGGGTGCCGGTGAGATGTTTCAAGTTACGACTTTGATTAGTGAATCTGAAAAGCTAGAGAAGGAACTGATTAAAAACCCTCCTCCGTCCGAGGCGGGTATAGAAGCAGCTAGGAAACTTGTGAGCGAGAGAGGAAAGGCTGTTAAACAACTTAAAGCTGCTAAAGCAAGCAAATCAGATATCACAGCTTCTGTGGCTGAACTTAACAGAGCAAAGGAAAGTCTCTCTAAGCTGGAGGAGAGATCTAAATTGAAACCCGGGATCCCCAAAAAGGATGGAAAGATTGACTACACTCAAGATTTCTTTGCTCGTCAAGCTTTTCTGACAGTGTCCGGCCAACTGCAAGTTGAAACATATGCTTGTGCTGTTAGTAACGTGTTCGGGCCGAACAGTCATATACCTCAAGGCATTTGGCAGAATTTTGGATGGTAGAGCCTGAAATAGCATTTGCAGATCTTCAGGTATGTCTCGCTACATTCATCTATGTGGAGCAAAAAATATTCATGTGTAAATTAAATCAAAGATTGAATGCTTTTGTAGGATGACATGAAATGTGCTGAGGCTTATGTGAAGTATATGTGTAATTGGTTGCTTGATAAATGCCTGGATGAAATGGAATTCATGGCCAAAATTTATGATAAAGGTTGCATTGATCGGTTGAAAATGGTTGCTTCGACTCCTTTTGTTCGAATAACATACACTGAAGCAGTGGAGCTTTTAGAGGAGGCTGTGAAAGGTGGCAAGAAATTTGAGAATGAAGTTAAGTGGGGGATTGATTTATCTTCTGAGCATGAAAGGCATGCAAGTGTTTATAATTCTTTCTTCGACCCGCTTTTAACCTGGATGTTAATATCTTGTTTTCCGTTGACCTTGCAGATACTTAACAGAAGTTAAATTTCAGAAGCCTGTTATTGTTTATAACTACCCAAAGGGAATAAAAGCATTCTACATGAGGCTCAATGATGACTTGAAGACTGTTGCTGCTATGGACGTCCTTGTGCCCAAGGTCAGCATTCTCTCTCTTTCATGTCATCACATATGTATTTATAATCTTCTGTCTTGCTTTGCCACATTTTTTAGTCAATATTTTACGAACATTTTAGGGTGGAGAACTGATCGGGGGAAGCCAAAGGGAAGCGCGTTATGATGTCATTAGGGAAAGGTATGTGGTAGCATTTCCTTGGTTATATATATATCGTTGACGTTGAGACTGCTTGACCTAAGATTGAAAACTTGAGGATATTGAACATAACAGTGAACCCCAGACTGAGTTTTGTTGTTATTCCCAACAGGATTTCGCAGATGGGGCTTCCTCTTGAACCATATGAGTGGTATCTTGACCTACGGCGCTTTGGAACAGTTAAACATTGTGGATTTGGGTTGGGCTTTGAACGAATGATACTCTTTGCCACTGGCATTGACAACATTAGAGATGTTATTCCCTTCCCAAGATATCCAGGTAGAGCTGATCTTTGATTGTGTGGTGATCTGAGGAAATGGTAATGATTTTCAGTTTAAAAAATACTCACGGATGTTATTATTTTGCTTTATCATACTCAGAAAGAAATTGTGCAAGTAAAACCGGTTCTTCAATTTTGCGATTGCTTCGGTTCATCCTTGACAGCTCCAAATATTTGTTTATGATGTACGGATTTTAGTCTTGTTTTTGCAATGCAATAAAGCTAATACTGGAATTGCTAATTTACAATTTCTTCTTTGGCAGTAGATTGTTTAGATTTCCAATGCCGTAGTTTAGCAGCTGGAGAAGAACTTATCCCCTCTTCTCTGCTCTACAAAGGCCTGACTGATAACCACTACTGGTTTCTTCACTTATAATCATAAAACCGTTAGTTGGTTGATATCATAACCCAACCTCCGACTCCTCTGTCATCTATAATGATAAAATAAGCTTCCAGTCTTCTAGACTTGAGGACTGCTAAATTTGCTATTTTGTCTAAAACGTGCTTCCAATGAAAATTCAAAATAAATCGTATAATTTAAAAATAAAAAATAAATTGAATCAAATCTTGTTAACCTCTAATTGTTATTGGTTAAACCTAAAGTATGTTCGATTTTTTATCAATTCGAACTCAACCTGAATGTTATATCCTTCATCAGACACTCGACCTAATTCAGACCAACTTGAATTTTAAGATAAAAACCTTCCTTCTATTTAAATATAAAAAATTCTTATTTTTATTCGACAAAATAAAGACTTACATGAAAAATAAATATAAAAAGTGGTTATAACAACTATCTTCAAATATATAGAAAAAATTACACTATTATCCTAGATCAACCCGGAGTATTTTTCACCCTAATTTTTTTTTAAACCCCAACTCTACAGGGCCAGTTCAGAGCCCGACGGATTAGAGTAAAATTGTCATCCATGTTTATAAAGCTTTCATATTTTTATATGGATAACAATTCAAACACTTCTACGATTAAGAATAATGACTTAAAACAGGGTTTCGTAGCTTAAGAAGAATGACATGATAATCTTTCTGCAAGAAGTTTTAATTGCAAGAGGGCAAAGCTTAAAAGTCTAGAGACTACAATAAACAAAATACAAGGAAAACGATATGCCTCATAAGTCATAATTGTAACACTAGCCAAAATTCTGATGTAAAGTTGTGAACAAAATGCAAGCTTTCACGAACTAAAGATCAATGAAGTTACTCATCATCGTCAATGACCTTGGTGCCCAGATCCTTGAGTCCTTCAGCTGGTATTTCAGCAACAGTTACCAGAGAGTAGACCTCCTCCTTTGCATCTTCGTCATCGTTTCTCTTGCGAGCAATGCGGACTCTGATCCTTCTCGGGACACTCCGTATCCCTCTACTCCAGATGTGCTTGTTCAGCTTGACATCAACCCTCACATCCTTTGTTCCCATTGCTTTTTCTGCAAACTTCCTGATCTCCTTAATAGCCTTGGGAGCCTTCTTCTTGAATGTGCTGTTTACGAGATCACAATGATGAAAGTTAAAAATTGCATACTCAATCCTCTTGTTGAATGATTAAACACATTGGCGGTTGAAGCAACTCCTAGCTCCTAACACAGGATTCCACCCAATTCGAGGGCAGAATCATCGTTATCAATTATTCTACAAAGCTATCACAGTCAAAATAACAAGAAAATCATACTAAAATAATGGAGAGAGAAAAACTTTTGCATTAAATCAAGCTTTATTTTCCTATAACTAAACCTTCATTCCTAAAGCTTCCGAGCACAAAATTAAACTCAAACCGCGGCACCACCTTGAGACATATGTTATCACTAAAAAATATTATTGAACAATGCATCCCGAGGATAACGATTCATGAATCTCACAATCACTTGCATGTTCTTCTCTATAGAGCCATTACTGATCCCTATGAAAGAATCATTACTTAGCCAGCTAAATTCATGACTATAATAGCTCAGACTAATAGTCATTCAAAATATGAATAACACGAACTGTGAATTATACACATCGTCGAAATATTGAAGAGTAATAAATCAAGCAAACAAGTTTATAAAGAAAAAGACAATGTTTACAACCAAGTCAAATCCACAATGCAAACTAAGATTAAAAATGAAACAGACAAGCAAAGTAAAAATTATTTTTTTTAATTACAAGAGAAAGATCAGTTACCAGCCATGGAGGCGCTTGTGAAGGTTGATGGTGTACTCTCTGGTCACCACCTCTTCCTTTCTTCCCCTCGTTTTCTCAACCATTTTCAATCCCTCTTGCGCTATCCCTTACCTGCATTCAATCAACCACTCGTCATCTTTAAAAACCAACTTTTGAACGACAGATATTGGCATAAAGAACGAAAATAAATCAGAAACAGAGAAATAGTGATACAGTTTTTTTCTTAATTTTAAAGTTACTCGCTGGATTTTCTAGGAAACCAAACGGAGGGAAAAGGCGGGATTGACCTGATTGGATAGGTGGAAAGCAGAAGCGAGCCGACGAGAGAATAAAGACCGAAAGAGCGCTCAAGCAAAAATACACAAATGAGAAAACCCTAGTAGCATACAGCTTCACCCACTGTGTCGTTTTGTGAATATTAATTGATCATATGATTGTCCTTCGATGTAAAATCTAAATAGATGGCCTCTCTCGCCGGAAAAAATATAAAACGGATAATATCACATTTAGTACTTTTAATTTGATAAAATGTTCAATACAATACCTATATTTTTAAAATATTTAATGCAATATTTGTATTTTCACAGGATGTCTAATGTGTATATATATTTATATAATATCTACTATGATATTCGAATTATCATTTTATATTATTTTAACATCTATAAATTTTTATTAATTGATTTGACACTTACTAAGAATATTAATATAAACACTTTACCAAGGGCATTAACTCAGGACAGGACAAATACCACATTAGATATTTTAAAAATACACTACCACATTGAATATGTTGTTAATGTACATTTACCAAATGATATATTATCCCGTAATAAAATCCAAGTTGGATTCTATTTGTTTGATTTACTTGAGAAAACTTATAAAATAAATAGTCCTCAGATTATCATGAAATTCTATTTTAGCCACCAGATATGACATCAAAATTCATAATACTCAAATTAACATGTGTTAAAAGTTATCAAATTGACTACAAAGCCATCTAATATTCTAAGATAAATAAGCTAAAATACAAGTCCAGCTCAAAAAGTTTACAAAACAAGCCTCAAATTTAACACATCCTACAGCAGTAACTAATTTATCAGTGATATGCTTAACCTGGCTAATGCACCAGGCCAAGTGGTTCCCTTCATACATGTTTTTTAGACACCTTTTCTGCAATTAACTTCACCTCCTTAATTCTCTCATCAACCAACTGCTGCAGCTGTTGTTCTTGAGTTTTTGTCTGATCTTCGTCCATCTGAACACCGCCAACCTCACCACTCTGAGACCTGAACATGACAAATGACGTCTCTTCATCATGAACGCTTGGGACCTCGATTACTTGCTTTCCTGCTGCCTCGGAATCTTTCCCTAGTATATCAGCCTTCACCCTATAACTAATGATCGTTACATAATCTTCCATATGCTTCTCTATGGGATTAAGGCCGAGATATATCAAAATCTCCCAACATTGAAGAAACTGTTTCTTGTTGATTTTCAAATTTTTCCTGACTTCCTCAACTATGTCGGGAGGTGGCAAGAATCGAGGAATATGGGCTTTTTTTGACAAGTTCCCCTGCTTCAGACGCGAGACAGCTGACTTAACAGCCTCCTGTGCTGGTTCAAAAGCTAGCAGTCGTTTTATATCAAAACTGGTCCGCACATGCTGGAAGTAATCTAGAGGCTCTTCAACTGTCAAGTCATAAACGTTTTCAGATACTGCAACATTGCTCAGAACCTCCACAAGGTGGCTGCCGTAACCCTTGTGCTGGTAAGGAGGCAATACCAGAATCTGCCAACAAAAGGAATAATTTCATAAACAAATGCTATTTGTGATTATTAAAATATGTCGACATGTAACAGTTGTTGAAGAGTGGCCATACTTTGGGTTGCATTCAGTCTACCTCAGGTACTAACATGAATAATGTCAATGAAAGAGATTAACCTGGCTGAGTCGCAAGCGTGAACCATTAGGGTAATGATAAAATCGATAGAGCGCTGCAAAACCAAGCAATAAATGCTGAGCATTCTCTGGCTGATCATTTTTCTTCTGAGTCAAGAGATATAACTCCCAGATTGGGTCAGTTACATCAATAGGATTGCTACCTAATCAAAAAAATATAGTTATTTAGATTGTATTAAGAATGAGATGCATCATGCAATTAACATTCGGCGAAAGGTAACACATACCATCAACAAGAAGAAGAACCAAAGGTAGCAAGCGACTATAAAGATGCCCGGCTGCCAAATTGTCCATCTTCAAGCAAACAACCTAATACAGAAAGAAAACAAATAAACCATGGCTAACATTTGCATACATGCAGCTCATTACCATTACTTTTATAGTAATTTAACCTACCAAAAAGTTAAAATCGAGGGAACTTAATCTCTTAAAATATTTCCCTATAATATACTTCATGGGACTCTCCATGGAGGTTTGAACTGTTAAGGAGCAGGATCATCACAGCTAGCCTCCTAAGAATGTTAATTAGCATAAAACAGACAACCCCATGATTGCCCAAAGGGGCCTACAGAAAAAAAGATAGGAAAAGAAATAACTGTAGGAAGGAAAGGAAAATGAACTCATTAATTTTGGATGCTTGAAAATTTCATGTAATGCCAAACACAAAAGAAGACCTCTCAGAAAGATTAGACCAGGATGAGACTGAAACTCGTAACAAGATGGGAAACAACAATGAAGAATTTAACAAAAAGATAATAGCAAAAGATCAGGAAAACCCCTTGTACTGTCAGGTCAATTGCAAAATTTAAAACCCAAACAAAATGGAGATCGGACAGAAGTTTGAGGTTAGAATAGTAATAACAGTGACATCCAGGCAACAAAACAAACACTTTATTCATGCATAATTGAAGATGGAAGTAACGAGAAAAGAAAATAATTCACTGCATGCAAAGATAGTAAAATTACCTCCAGATCAGAAGAGGCTGCTTCTGAATTGCCATTAAAATGAGTTATACGGCCATTGGAAGCTTTCATTTGCAACTTCTCTCCATGGGAAACAACAGAACTGAAAAAGGGTAACATATTGAGTTCACAAAACCGTAAGCAAAGAAAATAGAAAGCCAAGATTGCTAAGATAAAAGGGAAAAATATCTTCATTATGCATAAGATTTCATAGCATAATACCTAATGAAGTTATTCTCAGTTGAAAAGGTTTGCAGGAAGTCATCTTTGTTGTCCAAAAGAGTCGCACCAAAAATTTTCTGTACAAAAAGTACATAAAATCATGAATGCCTCAAGATATCATAGATTAAGCTAAAGTTAAACATGGTATAACATATACCTCAAGAGCAGATTTCAGGTCTGTAATCCCTTTGCCCCCCTGAATAAACAACAGTGGAACTCATTAAAATATCATGAAAAAAAATCAAATGAAATGCTTCATTGGCTCTATATGATATAATACATCAACACAAAACCATCAACGAGAACAAAATAATATTTGTAGGCAAATATGCTGCAATTTATGAATGAATATTACCTTTAACCCTTGGTAACCATATATCTTCTCCTCTTCTTCAAAAAAATCATTCAAATCAACCGGATTGATACAGAAACCATCCGAAGTTCCAACTTCCTCTTTCTTAGAGACTAAAATGATATCAATTAAGAAAAGTTAGCAGTACAATAAATAACGTTATTGCAGAAACTAAAAGGCGGAATTGTTTTTGCTGTCAGTTAACACAGTTAATAAGAGCATCCAGTTATCAAAGTCAAGAAATTCAACTTCCATTTTTAAACCTTTTTGATCCATCAGCACTTGGAAAACCCAAAACATATGTTATAACAGTAGAAGATGAATTAAAAAAAGTAACTTAGAAGGGGAAAAATGGAACTCACCCAAGTAAATCTTTATGCAGTCATTGGGCTCAACTCCAGCAGCTGCTTCAAGGCCAAACAAAAAAGAACCAGCAGCGAGCGGAATCAAAAAGCAACTCTTTGAAAGGTAAATAAAACGGAAATTAAACAGAAGTGAGGGGAAGTGAAGCTAGAAACAGAAAATGTAATTTGGGGGTAGAAGAGCTAAAAACATAAAATTATGAAAACGAAGAAGAGGAGACTGACCGATGCTGGAAAAACTGACGCGTCGCTTTTTCTTGGGGTCGGGGAGCGGATCGGCGTTGGGAAGATGTTGCTTCTTTCCCATTTGACGGAGGGTTAGGGTTTTGCAAAGTGGGAAATGAAGAACTGTGAGGCGGGAAATTATGTAGTACAAATTGGGGGATAATTTAGGGTTATTTATAATAAGCTCATTGAAGCCGCGCAAAATAGACAGAGGGAACTCATCACGTGCAATCCACGTGATGTATTTTTTTGTTAACTAAGATAAAATGTGATTACAAAGTAGTATATACAATAAATATGTTCAATCATTTGATAATTAACGTTCAATCATCCTTGCAGTCGTTGGTGCTCGAACCTATGACATCTAGAAACAATAATAATTCCTTTAACTATTGACGTAAGTTGGTTCGTGCACGTTATTAACATGTTTGAGTCCATTTTCAGGGTAAATTACAAGTTTCATCACTTAATTTTCTTTCCACTTCTATTATGGTCATTAAAGTTTAAAAAAAAATCAATTTGCTTATTAAGCTTTCAATTTATTACCATTTTATCATTCTATAGTTAAATAATTAACGAAGTTATTTTAAAAATATTATGAAAAAATCTTTAATTTTAATTCCCTTTGATTTCTCGAAGAGAAACATTTTCTTTCAAATTTCAACAGTGAAAAGGTTGAAAAGAAGGAAACAAGTTGTATATCTTGATTCTACATTGATTGAATGATGAATATTAAATATCATAGTGGTTTGATTAATGAATTTTGAGTTTAAGATTGAGATTTATAATTTTTAAAGTGATTTAGGTGAAATCTAAACGGATAGAGTGGTATGAATCAATGAGTCTAGTTCGAATAAGACACTAAAGAATGATAATTGCAGGGTCAACGTGACACATTAATGAAATTATTAAATTTTCATTTTTGAAGGAAAATTAAAATTTTAAAAAAGAATGAAACAAAAGAGAAAATAACTTGGGTGTATGGGTGTTCAAACGGTTAATTCGGTTATCGATTGAACCGAATTTCCATTAATCGATTTTTTTCTTTAATCGTTAACCAAACCGATTTTTTTTTTAAATATTAATTGATCTGAACAAAGTTCGATTATTTCGATCGGCTAACCAAATTAATCAAAAATAATTTATAATTAGATTAATTTGAATATAATAGAAGTATGTTTTTTATTTTGGGTTAAAATTTTAATTAGGTATTGATAATTTAATGAGTTTAGCGTAGTTAAAAAATATTTGATTTTTAATTCTTACTGAGTTTGAGCTTAAAATATATATTTAACATATATAATATATTTCATATTTAATAA